CCTCGCTATATAGACTGAATATAGATACAGTATTCGTTCTTCGAGAACGTCTGTGTTAGTATTTGCTTGAAACTTTAACAAAATGATCTGCTTGGCATGAAATAGAATATTAATGTTTTGTGACCAAAGCTGATCAGCTGATATTAATACTGGCTTGCAATTGGTTACATTATGTTGCCAAAAATTTCGTGTTTCAAAATATGGAAATGAGTTCCCAGAGAATGATGTTTTATACCAAGCAATATGAATCTTAATAATGTATAGACTGAGCTAATGTTATTAAATCGATGTGGACAAAGTGTATATTAAAATGTGCTTCAATATTTTGCAATAGACCAATATCGCTTTCGTATATATGCCAAGCATCTTTTGCACGTATTTGTTTATAGAATATTTAATTTATAGAATATTTAATGTCACCACATTATGTTGATAAGGATGTCTTATTTCAAAATATGGAAATGAGTTCCACGAAAATTATTTCAGATGGACCAGCGCTCTCTTGCAAATAAAAGATGTATTTGCTTAAAATAATTGTATCCCCTTAATAGCTGATGAACTATGCTATATAAGGGTTCAATAGACCTTTCCCCTTTTGATCTAGACAAGTCTAGACAAAAATTTCATCACAGCTTGAAAGAGCATCACAAAATTAGTAATATTCCAAAGTTTCGTTGCGAAATGTTGTAAAATGCGGATAATATAGCCTTGCGAAGTTTGCCGTTTTTCTGTCATTTTGCATTACAAACAGGAAATTGATAATCAGTTTGATCATCTGATTATCAATTTTCCGTGCGTAATACAAAATGAATGAAAAACGGCAAACTTCGCAAGGCTATATTATCCGCATTTTACAACATTTCGCAACGAAACTTCGGAATATTACTAATTTTGTGATGCTCTTTCAAGCTGTGATAAAATTTTTGTCCAGGCATATCTAGATCAAAATTTCACTCATAAGGGGAAAGGTCTCAGTATTGCCTCATTTAATTTTGCTCACAAGATCAAGACTGGCGAAGTATATTGAGTCCTACGGTTAGATCAACCGTTTACTGCGTCTTATGTTTATGAGATGACATTTCAAAACAAAGTTATTAAAAGTGATTCACTTGTGTAAGAATACACTCGGAGAAGAAAACGTACCTTCCAGTTTGACAAGTTGCATTCCTTGATTGCTTCCAAGTCACCGCACGATATGATTGGATGATCCAGATAAAGCCGTTCACTTTGCTTGGGGCCTGGGTCGAGTAAATTGCTTTCAGGACCAATGGGACATGCCTAATATAACCAACAAATAACAATTTTATTTATACTGAGAGCTCTATCAGTTCTAAACTGTTCTTCCTAGAGGTCCAGTAAGGATTATCTTTTATTGATCCAGTGTTACTAGAGGAGGAAATGTAAACTAAGCTAACTTTATTTATACTGGATAGCTCTATCAGTTCCTAGAGGTCCAGTAAGGATCATCTCTTATTGATCCAGTGTTACTACAGGAGGAAACCTAAACTAAACTAACTTTATTTATACTGGATAGCTCTATCAGTTCTAAACTGTTCTTCCTAGAGGTCCAGTAAGGATCATCTCTTATTGATCCAGTGTTACTACAGGAGGAAATCGGAGTAGGACCATTGTTTAGTAGACTGTAGTGACTGAGATGAAATTATAATGAGCAGGGCCGCCGAGAGGTTGGCGGGGGCCCGGGGCAAATTTTTGTTTAGGGGCCCCTATCTAAAAAATTTTTCGTAGAACAACCCCCCCCCTCCCCCCCGTCGACAACTTTTCAGATAAAAAATTTTTCCGGACGAGTACGTTGCAATTGTTTTCCAGGGACTTTATCTCATTTTTTCATGCCAAATTTTGGTACTTAGCCCAAAAAACAGATATCTTGTCCTTTGTGCGGAAATATTTAACACACAAAAAAGACTGGGGCCCAACAAAAAATTTTCAGGGGCCCCCAACACCTCGAGGCCCGGGGCAATTTGCCCGCCCCCCTCTCTGCGGCCCTGATAATGAAACAGCTGCGTATTGCAGGAATCAAACCTCAGTCACAGAGATGAAAGACACGTGCATTATTAACTGGGTCAGCGACACCTGATTTGTACATGGAACTAAAGCTCGCGGGAGAGTTTAAAAATATCTGTAAGAACTTACCAACGATATAACAATGGTCTCTCTAAATGGATCTATTGGAGGGTTAGTCACCTACAATAAGATAAATAGCTCGCACTTAATCATGATAGCGCAGATATATAGTATGGAAAGACAATGTAAGAGATCAGGGCTGCAAATAAATATTTGACTTGACAGGACATTTGTCGGATCACTTTTAATTTTGGTCGGACATAACTTGAATTTGGTCGGACAAAAACCAACATCACTAAATTTGGTCGGACATATATACGTCACAAGATATATATAAGTCACAAGACAAGTATGTATGCCATTCCAAGTAAGATTAAATGCTAGAACGCCTCGTAAATTTTATTGCAAAATGACAATTGAGTGAATTTGCAATCGGATTTTATCACAGCATAAAAAATGTCAAATGTGACATTTTATGTTTTTTTTGTGATCGGACCAATGTCCGATCAAAATTACTTTTGCTCGGACATTTGCCAAATTTAGTCGGACATTGTCCGATGTCCGATAGTAATCTGCAGCCCTGGAGATATACTAAATTATATTAGAATGTTAGGGTTTGTAATCCAAGTGAGAAATATACATTTTAAGACCTAACCAGGAACGACTGCGAAAAATGCAGCACAAGGTCTTCTGGTAGGAATTGAACCTACCGCCCTGCGATCACCAGGGCCGTAGGTTCAATTCCTACAGAGGACCTTGTGCTGCATTTTTCGCAGTCGTTCCTGGTTAGGTCTTAAAATGTATATATTCTCACTTGGATTACAAACCCTAACATTCTAATATTAATTCCGCCAAGTGAAGTGCAAGAATCCAAATTATTGAAGTCATACTAAATTATAAGATGGGTTAAACCAATTAAGACCACTTTTAAAAAGCTTGAGGTGGATAGCCATATGAGCATTTAGACTGGAAACTAGGCTTGGTGACTAGTACAATATATCTTACTGGTATTGAAACGTGATAGCAATAAAACAATTGGTTTGCTTACCTGAGCAAAGAGTTGTTTAAAATAATCAAAGAGCAATTGTGGATGCATTGTGAGACAAGCTAATGGAGTGTCATTGCCCATGGAACCAATTGCTTCTTTCCTAGAAACGAGTGACATAAACGTTGAGATATCACATCAACTACGATTGTGTTTAAATAAATGGGCAAATTCACGTATTGGTATCCTTTCACAATAAGTGCTTTTCAATCACCAACTAGTTTTGTACAAGTGTCTAATTAGTTTCTTAACATATTATACCGGTTTTGTATATGTCAGAGGCAAGGGTGGGTAGTAGCGAAGTAGTTGTAGTTCGCTACTGTAGCGAACTACAATTTTCAAGTAGCCAGTAGTTTTTGACTACTTTTTTAAAACAGTAGCTGTAGTTATAGCGAACTACATTTTGCCTAAAAGTAGCCAAGTAGTTG